CGGAGTGTGGGTTCTCCACCCCGCACAACATGATCTACTCGACCAACATAGTGGTTTCCGCCAAAAAAAAAACAGAGGCGAAAAAAAAACGGTAACCTGGTTGCCGAGTTCACGAAGTGAATTGGCTTGTTTTACAACGTCGTTGCCAAGCGACGAAAACCCAATCCCGATGGCAAACACCGGGGGGGGCGGCTTGTTTTACAACGTCGTTGCCAAGCGACGAAAACCCAACCCCGATGGCAAACACCGGGGGGGGGGGCGGCATGTTTTACAACGTCGTTGCCAAGCGACGAAAACCCAATCCCGATGGCAAACACCGATGCGGGGGAACACCGGGGGGGGGGCGGCTTGTTTTACAACGTCGTTGCCAAGCGACGAAAACCCAACCCCGATGGCAAACACCGGGGGGGGGGGATCAATCAACCTCGGTGACGTGTCAATCAAACACTAACATGTCGACAGACGCACATCAAGATTGAGAACACATACATGCCTTGCTTTAAAGAACAATATTCTCGACTGCCCCGGGCGCACGTTGTTCGATCCAACGATGTATTAATATCTTGAAACTATTATACAGGAAACGAGGTACCGCCGGGGAACCACGGTATGGTTTTGGTGCTCCAAGTCTTGATGATAGTGGCGTCGGCTGAAACTTTCTGGAATCGTTTTGTTGGGTTGAACTTCGCTGCAACCGACTTGTACGACACGTTTGGAAATTGCACTGCTTCACTGGTTTCCGTCTGCCAAGGTGTATCACGTACGGCTTCGTCAGGACGTATAATTGGCAGCCGCGGGATGGCTTGCGGATGTCGAACCACCAATACTACATACCCGACTGCCTATCTTGCCCTGTTTACCGTCCTGTGGTCCGTTTGCAGATCTCGAAGCTCGACCCTTGGAAAACGAACATGTGCCTCAGGATCAAGCGGGTGATTGAAGCCGCTCACGTCGAAGACGACGAAGAGGTTGATTTGACGTGATCGTGTTGCCGAGCCGTCGTGGCTGGACCTACTTTGTTCACCTGTGTACCGGTATTCCTTTGGTATGAACAGCGCTGCAGCAGCTATTGCCTTTCGGTGTTGGTTCGGGTGGTCACGGCCCGCCGTGATGCCCACGTGATCCGTGCACTGATCTTGAGGCTGTGTCGATGGTCAGCCGTCGCCGGGCGACGACCATTTCGAAGTTGGACGTTTGGTGCGTATGGAGTTAACTGCACGTAGCTCGCTTGCTTGGTAGCAAGTGAGGCATCTGCTCGCAAATAGATTTCGCTCTCAATAAAGCCGCTACTGCGTGAAGGTTGGCAAGGGGCAGCATGGAATTATTCAGCCTACGCCTGTTATTCTTTGTAAATCTGCGCTTTTGTAGGGTATGGAGAGGTCTCGCCTTGTGAACCTTACCTCAAGCCTAGGTTGTGGCCTTACGTTCGAACCCTCCCCCACAAACGATGCCACTTGTGCGTCGGTTGGTCGCCCGGAGAAACAGGGCGCGAGGCTGACGCACCTGCGACCCAAAGATGCGTGCGGTAGGTTGACGTGTTGTGTGCACGTAGAAGCGTGGCGACGGTTGCCTTTGTAGTGCTTGGCGTCGTTCCCTTCCGATTTTTCTTGCGAGCGCACAGAGGAGATACGTATTCGAGTTTCCCTTCCCTTTTTCTATGGACGTGATGCATTTGTGTTGAATGCGCCCGAAGGGCAGATCATCGATCGATGGGCCACTTCCTCTCTGACTGACGTAAGAAAACGTTGCCTGTTGTGTTGTTTTGAGGAACTCTCTTGGGTATGACAAACAACGCTTGTTGATTCATTTTTGGCGAAGGCTCGCGTTCCTTGTACGTATAAAGGTGGTCCAGCATCGTGCAGCAATGGCCACAGAATAACCCAAAATTATGGAAGTGCTCAGAGCCGTGGCAAGGTGATGACACAGCACCATTCGGGCATGCAAAAAATCGAACTCATCGCCAACTTGCCCACTTGAATGGCGAAGGGACACGGTACGTACAGAGAATATCCCTGAGCACCAGACTGTGCTGACTGATGCGCATCGTGTGCGTCGCCGCTCCTGTTTTTTGGAGGTGTGTGGTTCCCATGGGGAGCCTCTGCCTCAGAATGAACCTCAAGCCGAAAATTGGTAGGGGGTCGCTCGATCTGATTACACCACATCGCGCGCCACAATCAACCTTTGAGGTGACTGAGAGGTTCTATACCTGCAGCGGTTCCCCTACCAATATTGGTGAGGTGCACATTGCGTGTGTCTGATCGATTCTTTTCCGGGCGAAGTCCTCTAAATGTGCAGGTGCCCTGTTTGGCACATGTGCTAGCATTGTGCCAGGGAAGACATTCTGCCAAAACAGGCCCAGCGGACCCTCTTATCTGCATCAGGGAACCTCACCCCAAGTTGTCATCGATGGGTCTCTCCAGTAACGTTTTCTCTTCGAGAATCTCTACCCCAGATTTTTCAAATTCCAACAAGGTACCCTCTGAGTAGGGTATGTTCGGTGTTTGAGGTTCCCCCCCACTTTCGGTTGGGGCTTTGCCAAATCCGGAGGTCCCCCTCCCGCTCACAATGTGTCGGTTGAAGTTACCGAAAAGTACGACGAGTTCTCCTGCAAGGTTTGGGGTGAGGTTTCCTACGTACTGCAGAGGGTTCGCCGGTAACATAGTAAAGAGAGGCGTCCGACGACGCCGACTCCCAGTCCCGCCTCCATGACAATGCTATTCACAACTGTAACTTTAAAATGTGATCGATGGAGGCGTGTGTTCTTTTCGTCCGCAGCCGAGACATTTCTCGACACCGTCGGTTGTTCCGCTTTCCACCACAATCAATCTCTGTAAAGTATCAGTAGGTCTACAATCGGAAGGAGGCGGAGCATCGATGACTCTTTGCCCAAACCTCATGCCCTACGGTTCGAAGCGAAGCATCCATGACGGTTTGCGCAACTATCTCTGGACAAGACAACACATGCAGTCTCAACTGAAATCTTGATGCCTTGACGTACATTCAAAATCGTCCCACAGACTAACCCCAACCCCCCCCAAGCTTTGATCAACTCATGTAGAATGCGGATGCTACATCCAACCCGTAGGGTACCCTGACCGTGACGATTCGATGCGCCCGAAAAACAGCGATCGAGATGTATCTTGCATAATTTGCAAAAGCAAGCAATTCCCCAAAACCATTGAACACGCTGGTACTGAGTATTCGAACATATTTACACATGGGCCATACAGCAGGGTACAAGCAAGATGATCGTCCCCTACACGCGTACGGAAGCGCACCGTTATCCGAAAGTATGCCCGTCATGCCAAGGCAGGGTTAATCCGCCACGTGCCACACGCCACATCGACCGTGGCCACGCGACCCCGGCAATAGACTGCTTGCATCGTGACCCGAGCAGTAGCTGTTTCAGGAGCGCCCGCCACAAGACTTCTGCGAGGGGCTGATTGAAATAATCTCCGAACGATAGCTGTATCAGGGACGGCGGCCACACCACGCCAGCAATATGCTGGTTGAATCTGTTCCCGAAATCCAGTTTTTCCAGACGCGCCGGAAACACGACTCCCGCGATAGGTGGATCGAATTCCGACCCGAGCGATAGCTGTTGCAGGAACGCCGGCCACACGACTTCACCGATGGGCTGATTGAAATCATCTCCGAACTACAGCTGTTGCAGGGACGCCGGCCACACGACTTCAGCAATGGGCTGATTGAAATCATTTCCGAACGATAGCTGTTGCAGGGACGCCGGCCACACGACTTCAGCAATGGGCTGATTGAAATCATTTCCGAACGATAGCTGTTGCAGGGATGCCGGCCACGCGACTTCAGCAATGGGCTGATTGAATCTTGCTCCGAACGACAGCTGTAGCAGCGAAGCCGGCCACACGACTTCAGCAATGGGTTGATTGAACTCATATCCGAACGATAGCCGTAGCAGGGGCGCCGGTCACACGACTTGAGCGATGGGTTGATTGATGTCACCTCCGGAAGATAGCTGTAGCAGGGAAGCCGGCCACACGACTGGAGCAATGGGTTGATCGAAACTATATCCGAACGATAGCTGTTTCATGGACGCCGGCCACACGACTCCCGCAATACGCTGATTGAAACAATCTCCGAACGATAGCTGTTTCATGGACGCCGGACACACGACTCCCACAATAGGCTGGTTGAAACAATCTCCGAGCGATAGCTGTTTCATGGACGCCGGCCACACGACTCCCACAATAGGCTGGTTGAAACATTTCCGAACGAAAGATTTTGAAGGAGTACTGGAAACGACAGGCTTTCCATTGGAGTATGGAAATCTGTGTCCAACACCAGCTGTGTCAGCCCCAGAGGCCAAACCACTGATCATAGGCTAGCCGCACACAATGGTCCCATCATTCAAGACGTTCGGACCGCGCCCACAGCTCGATGGCGGCTCTCTGCACCAGGGTTCCCATGGAAAGCGCCGACATCAAACGAAGAGCACGCACGACTGGCACACGGCTCGAGACACGAATCTTCGAGCTTTGCGTGTTCGGCAGTGCCTGCACACTAGGAAGAGACCATAAGCTTGTAGAAGTCCCACCAGTTACACGGACTCGCAAGGTCGGGGGTACTTCGGCACGCCCTGCAGATGTCCAACGAACCCAGCTGCAGCTCAATGGTCGATGTGTACCAACGCTTCTCCCCTCCTTCGCATGCTTGGCTCAAGGCGATGGCGAAGGCATCGAAAAAACGGGCTTGCCCTATCAACAAGAAGCGAAGAACAATCGCAAGAATCAACAAGACTTGGTATGGGTACTTGGCAGTTTATCATGTCGATACGGTATTGCGCGATACCAATTTGGGACCAAGGAGAAACATCGGACGAGAACAGCTACCCTTTCCCCTGTGGGTTATGACGCACGGGGGGTCGAGAATCGGTCGTGTCCAGACACGGGTTCGAGACAACAGGATCCGAAGTAGCAGAGATATTGAACCTTTCTTTGTGGGTACACGTGGTGCGAGCCAGGCTGCGGCGGCGGCGGCTGCAGCGGTGGTCGGACCACCAATTGGCGAGGTCAAGAGGCCTCGGTACGTTGGTGCTGTGCAGATGTTTGAGCTGGAATAATGGTGATGGTTGATTGGGCCCGAGGCCATGGTTGATATCATTCCACACGATCGGTGAGTTGAGACGTTGAAGCCTAACAGTCAAGGGTTGTTTTGCGGTTGTGGTGACCGGGGCGCCGACAGAAAATGGTAAAAGCCGACGCCAGGGGCCCGATTGTGGTACTACCCTCCGCGTGAGCCACCAGAAAATGGTAGTCAGTGGTCTCGGCCAATCACGTGCCGCCTCGGGGTCTTTCTTGTTGTGCCGTTTGGGGGTTAGAATGCCGGTTACTGATGTTTCCCATGATATACTTCGGGATCCCCGGGGCGTTCTCAGCTGCACCCACTGGTACCACCGTGCATTCCGGAGAGGCTAGAGGCTCGAATCCATAACCTAGCGTGAGAGGGTAATACGAGGCTACCTATTGAATCACAGGGGCGATCGACCATTTGTTCTCAATCAACGTACAAACTCCGCCTACAAAAGGAATGAGAGTTTGCACCCAGGTGCGGATTGGGGAGGGGATTCCTGACCATATAGCTATTCGTGACCTCGTGGAAAACAACATGGCTGCACCAGCCAGCACGGTTGGCAAGAAACGATGCGTGATAAGTTTCAAGACTGGTGTTCGAACGGGTGCGGACGCGGCAAAGGGTGGATACGTATCACGCTTGTATCTTAAATTTACACTCGAAAAACTACATCAATATTGTACTACTGCTGGTGAAGAAACTGCATGGTACCGCTTTTGTCGTTGTGTACACTCTACGATACCCTGCCGCGGCCCGTTGATCCAACCCATCTCACCTTCAGTAGGCATCGGCTATCCTTCACTAACAGGTGTCACGGAATCCAGGCGGGAATAGAGGTGCGTGATACTCTTCCCTCCCGCGTGCTCCTCTCATCTAATGATGTGTGGTGAGATCTACAAGGTAGGTGGGGGTCCCCTAGACTGTAAAAGACAGCGCCGTCGGCGGTGGTGGTGAGTAATTACGCCGCGTGCGAACCGGTATCTGAACCAATAGCCACTGCCCGCTGCACTTGGGGCTTGGGTCTTCCTCGGGCGTGTTGCGTTGCGTTGGTTAAAGCCGTTGGTGGAGATCGCGTTTCAACAAGCACACCACCGAGTTGATGGAGAAGAAAGAGATGGAAGGGGGCTTGGAGGTGATGGAAGCTGACCTTGCTGAGACCGAGAATTCCATCTATCACCTCGTGCGCTCCAACGTTGAACTGGCCCAGGTACATCTTCTGTACTACTGACAGCTGTACATTGCTCGGTTGAACCTTTGACTGGCAGGCATGTATCCCCGGCGACGGACTACGCCAACTATTGTTGGTATCAGTTGGTTCCACTAGCATACTCCTGATAGTGGTGTAGTCTTCATGGAGTTATTGTAGAATTGCAGCTACAGGCAGACACACCTGATGGGGGAGAGAGGTTGTGTTGCGTATTGCGTTACGGACTCGGTGGCCACCTGCCCCACATAAAACTGAAGCCTGTTCATGGACCTGTCACCATCACAATGACCAGCTAGGCTTCCGTACACTGTATATATATGTTCTCCTTGTTCTTTCCTAGCGGTTCGGAACAAGCAAGAAAGCAGGCGGTTTGAGACGTTTTTTTCAAAACTATCTTTGTAGGGGGGGCAGAGACTCGTCTATGCCGCACGGGTTCTTGGTGTCAGGATTTCCGAGCACAAGCAGAAATCTCGTCAAAGTTATTCTGATTGCTGGCGTCCATATGGATAAAAATATGTGCGGACGCGGATCACCGGTTTACACCTACAGGTGTGCACATGGACGCAACTACTTATACACCGGCTCACCTCCCTACATGGGGGCCCAACAAAAAATATTTTAAATATTTCGCGCGAAACGCGAAAAGGAACGGGCGGAGAGGGAGGCGCGAGGCATTAGTAGATATGGATTGAACCTCACAGAGAGGTCACCACTGCTACTACACATGCTCACACTTCACCCACCACCAGTCAGCCGTGTACGCAGGACTGCTGCTGTTTAGCAGCGCGGGGACGAGAGAAAGTTTTGTGTGAGGTGTGGACGAAGCTCTCATTAATCAGCTGCTGCTCCTGCTGCTACTACCGCGGTGTGGGTGTGCACCACTTTCTTGACTCGCTTACGCTCGTAGCAGCGGCAACGGGCCGCTAAAAATCGCCCCCGACGCCCCCTATGTGCGTCTGTATTTGGTCACCTTGGCCGGCCGCGTGTGTACATCTCATTGTCTCTCTATTTTCGGGCGCGTCTGTTGTGGATCAAACAAAGATCGACCTGACAGACCGGCGAAGACAAGCCGCAGATTGATTGACTTGGGTGCACTTACTTCACTCGCTTATACGCTGCTAGCAGCAAGCAACGGGCTCCAAAATTGCTCTCGATGCCTCGCATGATGTGCTCCTTTGGACACCTTGGCCTACAGCAGTTTGTGAGTCTCATTGTCCCTGTTTCAGGGATGCATCTGTGTAGCAAGCTCAACAGATCGGCCTGCAGATAGCTGACAGCAGGATGCAGCAGCAGCTGCAGCAGCAGCAACATATTTCACCCGTGTCGCCTCCCTCGTTTGTGGTGCTGCCGACAGCAGCCAACCGGCTCTGACAGTCGAACCCAACGTCCTATTATGTGCGCCTTCGGCTGCCCTTGGTCCACAGCTCGTGTGCTGCTGTGCTGGTTTTCTCCTGTGTTGTCTACGTGTGTCATGTGCTACTGCTGCTGTGCTACGCCTTTCGGGAGATTCCCGCTCGGCGGCGTGTCCATCAGTCAATCATCTGTCTCTGTCCTACATATTGTCCTACATGGTCGACATGCAATTGGTGGGAGGACAGGTATCTACCCGGCTCTACCCCTCCAAAACTAGATGTTATATTTTTTGTTCTTCCGGTCCAACATTAAGATTCCGATACGTATGGATGCTCTGCCTCTATTCAAATGCATTCGGTGCAAATGGAGCTACCATTTCTTCAGGGACGTGCACGGTTTTTGTCGCTCCACAACTTGTTGTATTCGAACCAAACCGCAGCCGCAACGGGGCTAGCTGCCTGCATGGTCCCATGCTGCTGTTAATATGCATCACACGCATGCAGCTATAACACTCTAGAACTGCAGAGTTGGTGCCATGTTCCCATGTCCCGCAATTTTTTTGCCCAGGTACCAGCACCGCGTGTAGGCTGTCCGCTCCTGTATTCCGTATGCCTAAGTTATGGGCTACAACCGTATTGAGCCAACTGCTGATAGACGATCCCTCGAACAAATGATCATGGGTCATGGGCTCCTTAGTGCCCACCCCGATATCGCAGAAAATGGTTTTCTAGGTCTGACAGCAGAGTAGGTCGTTGGGAGGAAGATCCTTGCAAATCCCTGTCCTACCCTTGTTCGCCGATAAGCAAAGTTCCCTTCCTATCCATGACTTGCCTCGCCTCTTTTGGGCGACAGTTCTTGAACGAAGCGCCGGGAGACGAAGACCTCGAGCAAGCCATCGAGGAGAACAAGGCAGTGCTGGTAAGAAGACGACATCGCGTGAAGACTCTGCGACTCGCCATCTCTGACTTGAAGACTCAACGCCCGCACATGGCCACAGCAGCGGCGCCCTCCTCATCAGCACGGATCGCTGCCAGTACCTCCGGACCTCGGGACGCCCAATCAATGGGTAGACACAATGGTACCACTAGCGAAAGTGCTGATCATACGGTAAGCCCCACGGTTGTTAGTAGTGCAGGCGGGTCCGGGGACGTCATCAGCACCATGACCGCTTCCATGAGTCTCGACGCAGCACCACCAATCCCTCCCGCCGGGAGCAGCATCGCGGCGGGCAATAGCCAGGCATCGGACAAGACCCCTGAAACTGGCGGCTCAGGTCAAGTTTCTGTGGCAGCTCCAGAGACAGGAGGCGGAGATCGTGACGAAGGGGGGGTGTTGCTCTGAGTCTTCAGTCATCTGCACAGGCCAGCGTTGCTACTGCTGTGGTACATGCCTTTGTCCTTTGGTCGTCGTATCGGACGTGCCGCCGGTTGTAGCCAAGACCGGTGCACACGACGTGCCTCGTTCCTCCTTGTGAAAGGCATGCCTAGATAGCACGCAGGCTCTGTCTCTTTCGGAAACCAGTTGATAGTTGCTCGTCCTCGATGATTCCAGAAGTCGACTTTCAGCGTGGAAAAGTTTCCTGTCTATTTTGCAACAGAGACCATACGGAAAAGCGATGAACGAACAAACCAGGTTCGAGATAATAGGCGTTTCTGGCCAATACGACACAATGCAGCCCTCGCCGTTGTATTGTGGCGTTAAACGAGCAGAACAAGACGTTGATGTGCTTCTTGTTTCCGTTCGCAACTAGGCTGAGGCCAGGCACCGAGTGATCAGTACCGAAGCGCATGGAACAACCGCTTGCAAGATGCCCCCCGCTTGGGGCACTCAAGATCAAAGAATTTGAGGCATCGATCGTCTTCGTGGGTTCGATGTGCCTCCTAGATGAAGCTATTAATACGGGGAGTGTATCTGATTGAAGCAGCAGCTACGACTATGTTGGTGTGTCCTCCTTCAAATGCGCAAGCCCAAGTTGTGGCTGTTCCGGGATTGCGTGATGGAACACTTTTGGTTTGGTCTGGGCTTCTTGTAAATGACGAGAAATTCAGCATGGGGGCTCCGCTTGGTAAACAGGGCGCCGGTTTGCAGGATACATGGGAAGTGTCGATGGACTACCAAGCGGCGGCACATCCCCTTGTGGTGAAGGGTCGTGCGTTATTGTCGATGTCCATCTATGAAACTGCGCGTTCTTGGGCCATTTCCGTGTCATAGCTTCTTTGGCCGTGCCACCGTCTGCTGCCCCGTATTGGAGCAAAGGACGTCAGACAAAGGTGATGAATATTGATGATCAATAACCCAACCATTGTCGAGCCTCTTTCACGGTCCACTGTTGTAGGGACTGGCCGTTACAAGGTCACTACCAAACTGAGCACGGCGTTGCTCTTGGCCTGCGCTGTGCCACGCAATAGCGAGGTTCCCCTCCTATTTTCACACCACTGGAATGTACTCAGACGGCAAGCCGACAATCAGGTCTGACCAACAGACTACTGGAGGCGCCCAACGTGAACTCAAGAGCATTGTTGGCCAGAGCTCTCATGACTTCCGGTTTTCGCACGAGTATAATTTGCATTGTTCATCTGATCTGTGACTGACCTTCGACTGACCCACCGTAACCAATACGAACGGTAACCTTACAACAGCCACATATATACACCGTTTTTAGTCGTGTCCGCGGTCCTTTTTTGGGATTTTTTTGCTGGTTCTTCTCTCTCACTTTAGATATTTTGCTCTGTCTACATTGTATGCATACTTGATACCTCCCGCATCGGAATCCGCCCCTGTCGTCCGCCCCCCTCTGCCCAATCACTCGCCACTCGCCCCCCGGCTAATCCGAAGCCTTCGAACTGCGACCTGGCCGTTCACGCCAGTCTAGCCCCATACGGTAAGTCATGCCCAACACGCGAGTTAAGAGCTCTCTATCCTGGAGCATGTATTCGGCGAGAATTTAAATACAGCAGCCCGAGGTCTGCACGAATTGTTTTCGCCGTTTCGATCACTGAACAGTGCTATTTGAGAACCTGAATCTGCTGCTGTGATATTTAAAAGTTTGGCTGTAGTACTGGAGCCCTTCTCAATCTTCATCGAGCGCCTGAAGGCTTCACCGTCAACCCGATGCAGACGGCAAAACTATCCGTGCCCTTGTATGAGCCGCGTATTGCACGGCCTTTTTAAGTTACCTTGAGCGCAGTAAACATCTCTTTGGCGTGAACTAAAAACTGCCTAGACCTTGAAATCAATCAAACTCCTAGAGGTCGGCAAGCTGCGAAACCCACACAACTTCAACCCTAAAAAAAAATACACCCAAATCACCTTTCTCGCCCTGCATGTTCGACGAAGCGTCGAAAGTTTGGGTAGAGTTTGACCTGACCCCACCCAAAACAACACAACTCTAACCCTAACCTTAATCCACACCCACACATCCAAGCGCTACGTTTTGGACAACGTTGAAAACAAAAACTGAAAGAAAAAACATGGCGAATATATTTTCAACCTTTGTTTGGTATGGTTGGGTCCTAACGGGCGTGTGAAGACTACCATACTGAATAAATGGGCTTTGCACAACATACCACCACAATCCTCGACGGACAACATCGTTGACAAACTTCAACCCTCGAGACATCTTTTCCGTCCCTACAATCTGTCAAAAAGCACGATATGAGGGGAATCCTCCGAAAACACCTCGCTCGTTCTGACGCCATCCGCAGCACTACACCCTCGCCGCGTCGGCATTAGCGGTCAGAGCCGGCGGATTGTTTAGGAGTCGCCGGATGGGTTTGAAAATCACCGGGTCTAGGACGTCCACCTTCATCGGCGAAAAGTCCGCATTGAACAATCGCCCGCCAGAGCGAAACAACGGCTTGTCCACGTGGTCCCACCCGGAGCTACAACACTGGACCGTTTTCGGCTCAACTCTGAATGCCTGCACGTACATCGCGGTGCCCGGCGCCGGACAGATGTAAATTGTGTGGAAAATAGCCCAGCCAGACTTGCTCAAGTCGTAGTCCGCTGTGAACACGCCCCCGGCATTGGTCACCTGCTCCCACACTTCCTGCTAGGAAGATCGACGTCGGAGGGTGGGTTGGGGGGGAAAGTCAGCGGCAGTCAGATAGACTATATGTCGTGCCGGGCTACTGATGTAGTCTAGGTCACCGCTGCACTACGAGGGGCTTCCTGTGTACGTCTCATACTCTGTCTAGAATCATTTCATCTAATATTCGTATAAGCCACCAATCAACCAGAACCACCTACACGCGTTGTTTCAAATACTTCAGTCACTGGGACTGGATGCCGGCACACACAATAACTACGACACACGCGACCCCATCGAATTTCGTGACCTCATTTTGTTGTACACTTTCGTTCCCAAGTGGATTCTAAGTAACGAAGTGGGGGGGGGTCAGGTCGGATGTGCGTGCATACCTTGGCACACCTTCCTCTATGCACTGCACCCACCTTGATCAGTCGGAAGGCCACCGGAGTCACCCATGGGCGAGGGCATCCATGGCTGGGATCCATTCCGAATATCACCTCGGTGGCGTTTGTTTCACGGAAACCCCCACCCGGAGTTTTTTTCATTGGGGGAAACCTCTTGGGTTCGAGTGGCTCGTCGCTGACGTGGATGATAATCGCGTCAGTTTCCGTCTCGAGGGCCTTCAAGCGCTGACGTGGACGTTGTATGTTGAACGACGACCGTTCGTATATCCTCCTCCTTTCGTACGACAGCGGATCTCGGCGAAAAAAGCCGTCGTCCGGGTTGATGTACGACTCCGCAAACTTGTCGTCTTCGCCAATCACTGTGTGGACTTCGTGCGCCTCGACGTTCACGGTTCCCCTTGCGTCCCGTTCGCACTCCAGCCGGAAAGCCTTGAGACACATCCCTGGCTTCAACTTCGATCGCCGCCTTCGCGGCTGCGCCTTCGACTCCGACATTCGTAGCCTGAAACCTGTTCATTTTCATCACGATGAAGATACTGTTCAGAACGATAGCTCCTCCTGGCGAGCTGCCTATGGCTTGAGTGTATGAATCTGTTCGTTGTTGCTCGTTACCCATATGCGGCCATCTACCATGAAACGTGTGGGAGTGCTTCCCATGTACGCTCCTAGTGCAACAGCAGCTGGGCCGTTCAAGATGTATCCACGGCATGCCTCGATCCAGCCAGAATTCAACCGGGCCAGAATGAACTCGAGCGTCAAAAATTGCTCGAACTATTCCAGATTAGCTCAGATTAGGTGCTTGGTGTGGTGGTGAGCCATTCGGGTTAGCTGTGTTTGCCTCAGGCGGCACCATGCAGTGAAAGACTTCTTTGCAATCATGTTAGACGTGCGCTGCCCTTGCACCTCGCCCCAAAAGGAATTCCTTACTGCGCTCATCTCTTGTTCACCTGGTTTGGTTGGGGCGCCAGCTGTGAGTGACAATGAGCGTAAGATCCAGTACCAAGGCCAAAGGGTAGAGGGAGGAACGAAAAACCCGCGGACAACTCGAACGCGGAATGGTGACCTCAAGCATGATCGAAACAAACCCTTTCGCATTCATCTCTCTCGTAGATATCGCGAATCCCTCGGCTAGCAATGGAATCCACATATATTTTCCCGGAGAGAACATTCTCGTATCCATGCCACCAGGGGCCAAATTGTCAAAACTCTTTATTTTTTTCAGTCGCACCCATCCATGGCAACGCGTACGTTCCCTGGTCATGTCAGCGGCGATTTTACGCATGTTCAGGGTGAGACGAACGCCGAAAAAGGTTTGCTTCGATCCTGGTACAGTAAATTACTTTTTGCGATCGAGTTGTCCATTTGTTTTTTCGTCCTTCATTCACCCTTTCGCCGTCAGACTGGGACGCTCTTGTCACCCACAGCACGTACTCCTGCCGAGTCAGGTGTACACCGCTCTAACCTAGACGTCGCATGGGTACACAACATTTTCACCTGCACGTGCCGCCTGGGACGCGCTGCGTTTTCCACTGACCCGGGAGCCGAATTTGCACGGTCTCCCTGACAAGCACCACATGCTGTCTCTTCCCTTACCTCCCACTGGTGCTTTAGCAAGACACCCAAACTCGCACGGTGTAACCTAGCTCTAGCTCTGTGGGGTCTCCTCGTCGACGCTACAGTTGTGTACAGACAGCCATGGAACCTCGCAGAACAATAAATGGTTTGCTGTTCGTTGCCGCCAGCACAGAGCAAGTTCGATATATTGGGGGTTCTTGCCATCCCCTGTTATTTGTTCTGGGCGTAGTCCAAGATACTCACCAATATCCACTTTCTGGATGGCGGAGCTCCGACGCGGACAAATATTTCGGAGGACATATGGAGGAGCGGCACGCACATCGATACCCCCAACTCTGTTGCCGCGGGCGTGCTGTCGAAGGCTGCAGCAAACTGTGGTCTGAAAAATGTGCAAATCTGCGTCCATATCATTCACGATCAAAAGATCTCACGGACCGTCACAGACTCAATTTCCCACCAGCTCTACAGTGGTACAGTACAATGCACCAAAGCTCACACTTCAATTCAAGAATTGGATCTGTGACAGTGCGCACAGGAATGCATAAAAAATGGTATGGACCTAGATCTTTGTTGCGGATTTCGGACCGCAGCTAGCTGCAGCCTTCGACCGCATGGCCCCAGCAACAACTGGGCGTACCAACACGCATGATTACTGTTGCTCGGCGGTGTCTTCAACTGGAATACCTTTATGCCCAGGTCGTGATTCCGCAACGCAACGATCTTTTGTTGCTGAGCTCCGGCTGTTGTTGCTGTTTTGTCTTAAACTATGAATGAACTGCGGAGCGCGGAGCGCGACCGTTCCTTTTCTCCCCGTCCCAGGAGAGAACAGGCTCTATCTACCAGGGGCCAAAAGTTTCAAAAAGTTTTTCGATCAGCACGAGGTCTTTGGAGCACCGATTGACGATCTGCTGGCTTGTGACGAAGAATGACAATAGGGCGATCTCCTCACCACATCGGTGTGGTCGTGCTCCGACAGCAGATGGTCGTGCTTCACTGGCATTTGTACCCAAAACCATGGGAGATACTCAACCGCATCCCCGGGAGTTGTCAAGGTAATGGAGGACATAAATATTGGAGACCTCCCACCCACCCACACGCAGTCACGCAGTTGGAACAGAGGAAGCACTCAGCTTAACACACAGCACCGCTGGGAAGGGCAAGACAGCACTAGCGGAGGAAGGGGGCCATGCACACAGCTCGTGGCGGATGCCATTGTCATGGCTGCTGATTCGGTGTGTGAGGAGGGGTTACCTGGAAACAAACCAGTGCCACGGGGAAAAAGGCCTTTCATTGGTGCTGTGTCACCCTCCGCAGAGAAACCACCGAAACTCCCATCGGTGGGGAACGTACGGATGACGCCTACCGTTTTCGTTATTATTGTTGTCTTCACATTATAAACCCGTTCCGGTCTCCACTCAGTGCCTTCTAATGTCCGCACTGGTCCAACTGACGCGGGGGCCTTACGTGGTCACAGGCCAACTGGCCCCCGAAGGAGGGGGGGGTACACCTTTCTAAAAAATATTATTTGATGTAGCAAATAACAATAGACACCAGGAAATTCCTCCAAGGCGCGATTTGTTATCCAACCAAAAAGATCAACAGTAACGAAAATCATAATCGGGATAAAGAGACGATCGACGACCCCGGTCAAAGGGATCGAACAACGAAAGGCAAAGAAAGAAAGAAAAGAAAGAGAAAAAAAAACAAAGAAAAACAAGGAGAGAGAAAGGCAATAAAAGAGATAACGGCAGATAGACAGGTCCAACGCTCCAGTCTATCTATCTACCCGAACAACACGAAGTAGACCATAGGCCACTACTAACGCGACACCAGACAGATACATTCATACCGACTTCCGACGACACAACATCACTTCAGGGGCATCGCGAGGGGAGGTTTAGCGACACGTAGGAGACAGAAAGCTCGAGACCCCACGTCGAGGAGGATGCCTGCACCCAGCGAGACGTTGTCGGAAGAAAGCTCTCGACGAGACGGTCCCCACATCACAATTATCGGCACCGCCACTCTCTGTGGTGTGGAACAAGTGAGCCTTGAAATCGATCCAGGGGGTGTCGAATCTTGTGTCACCTACGGTATTGGTGAATGCTTGAATGCACACGCCAACGACGGCCGTTCGTTCCAGTAGCCTTTTTTTCTTTTGATGACTGGGACTCAAATCTCAACATTGTTTGTGGTACTTGGATATGAGTCCGATCTGTGAATCCTCTGTGGGGGATACGCGAATGGGATATATGGGTGCGATGGGTATGTATGCGGTTGAGGTCCATGTGCGGGCCTCCGGGTGAGCACACGGCAGTGTGCTCCCGGCACTTGCCTGAGGGGCTTGCGTGTTGGTGACCAGCTTGCCTGAGGGGCTTGCGTGACCGATATATAATACATGGTCCTTTTTCATCTGCTGTTCCTGGGATAACATAGCCCCCAGTCTCAACACCACAGACCGCTGAGGGCGGCAGTGCACACTAACACGATGTATCGAGTTTGGAGCCTCGCTAGGCCAGGTGTTGGTTCGGCGATGACGAGAGGGTGAGAGCATTTTATGGAGCTGAGGGCTCGGAGCGTTTTTATGGGAATGGCGGCAGGCGGTCCCAAACAAGAGTGATTTTACGAGGGATGGAGGAACGAAGATCATCGGCGGCAACGGCTAGCGCGCCGATGAGTTGCGGCAGCGGAAGCTCCAGTATGTGTGCGGGGCCGATACAAGAGCAACAGCAGCAGCAAGGTATGGGTTGCACTCGCGATTGAAGGAATGTCGATGCGGCTGGTGGGTTTTATGTCAGCAGTGAGCCGAGGAGATTTCACGGGCCTCCTCAGTGCGATCGGTGCGGGAGTTCTGGACACGTTAGCATCAAATGCCTGTGACCAAACCACGAAATGATCTACTGGAAGTACAACCGACCTGGTACGTTTCAGCAGCAGTGGAGGAATGGCGAGTTTGGCGGCGGGTCTGCGTGGTGGCAGCAGCAGCAGCAGCAGCAGCAGCAGCAGCAGCAGCAGCAGCAGCAGCAGCCAGGCGTGGTGTACGGCGGTGACTCTCAGTAGCAGCCGTGGCAACAACAGCTAGCGGCCGGCTTCACCGGGGGTGCAGGTGGACAGATGAGTAGTGGGGTGTTCGTTGGTGAGGAGGGGGGGGGGCTACTGCCGGTTCGTCTGCGGGGTATTTGCCGGTAAAAGACCCCGCCAACGTAGCTTCTCTCAACGTAAACACACACTCCGCCACTCGCTCTCCCCAGCGGCCCGCGACATCACGTGTAGCACCTGCCGTAGTGCGGCAACGCGATGAGCTGGATCTCATGGAGGGCGGGTACAGCAGTAGCCGTGTAGCGGAGGAACACGTGCTTGGATCGTATCACGTTGTTGTAATTTCGACGTCCGCGTAATCACAACAACCCAAGCATTCGTCGGAAGCGGCGGCAGCAGCAGCGTCGTCCCCGGTCGCCGCGTTGGCGCCGGGTACTCAGGCGGACGCAGCGGTGATGGCGGCGGCGTCGGTGACGGGGGGAACGCCAGCGGCAGCAGCAGCTGCGGCGTCCCCGGTCGCCGCGTTGGCGTTGGGTATCCAGACGGCCGCAGCGGCGGCGGTAGCGATATCGGTGACGGAGGTATATGACGAAGAGTTGGAGGAAGCGGTTGGTGCGACAACCACGCCGTTGCCAGTCCTGGAGGAGGTTGATAGCCAATGTGCTGGGGGGGACGTGAGCAACAGCAGCAGCAGTAGCAGCAGCAGCTGCAGCAGCTGCGGCGAGGACAGCGGTGGCGATGGGGGCGGGAACGAGGGGTTGGATGAATCTGGAGTGGAGCCCCGACGCACCCTTTCGACCCCGGGAAGACGAGGAAGAAGGGAGCAGCAGCAGCAGCAGCAGCAGCAGCAGCAGCAGAGAGGAAAGCGGTGGTGATGGGAGCGGGGACGAGGGGTTGGATGAAACCTGCAGTGGAGCCCCGACGCACGACGGGGGGCGGTACCAGGGGTGGCGTACCCCTTCGATAGGGGCAGGAACGGGAGTGGCAGCTCCGGCGGCGGCAATGGCGGCAACGGCGGCAGCCGCAGCAGCGACGGGAGTGGCGGCTTTGGCCAGAGCTCCGGCGGCAGCAGAAGACGGCAGCGGCGGCTTTGGCCAGAGCCCCGTCGGCGGCAGCGGCGACAACGGCGGCGGTGGTAGAGGCGGCAGGAGCGACGTCACCGGCAGCCGTGTTGGCGCTGGAACTCATGACGGTCGTGGCGGCGGGGGGACGGCAACGGCGGCGATGGCAGCGGCGGCAACAGCGGTGGCGCCCTCGAGTCGACCGGGAACGAGGAGGACACGGCGACAGCGACGACCTCACCTTGTTTCAGCCAAGGGGGAGAAAATGTGAAACGTTTACGACTTTGTTCGGTTTTGTGAGCAGGCATGGACGGGCAGGCATGGACGTTTCAGCTTCGCCATTTGGCTTCGCATTTATTTTACTTTGTGCTGTTTATTCCTTGCTAGCGCACCGTGCACTTTGATTCAGAAAACAGGTGTATGCCACGGCGTGTGCGTAATTTTTTTCTTATACTTGGTTTCATGATAATAATTGTACGCTGCACAAGATAAGCATTGCCACAACCTGTGGAATAGGAAGCAGCACGTGAGCATTGTTTTTTCCTCGGTTCTTGGTACATTTTCACTCGCGTTTTACCTTGCAGCTGAATGCTTCATAATACTTCCGTATTCTTTGGAGGGAGTGCATTCACTCGCGTTTTTTTTTTCTACGAGCTGGACACTTTGCACATACTTTGGTGTTTATGTGAGGTCCCGAGTTAAGTGGACGCTCTCTGCGGTGTGTCTCTGACCGTTCGCACGAAATGGAATGATAGCGCGTTGTTTGACATGCATGAAGGCATACCGCTCAGGGAGCAGGGAGGCTTTTGGAGTTCCAGTTAAGAGACAGTTTGCATACGGTACGAACTTTTTCTGGAGTTTGATGCCTTGTGTGTTAACGTGCTTTCATGTTTCTGGTTTGTATCGCATGTTTTTGCTGCTCTTGCATCGAAAATCATGGGGGGGGATGTCAAGTATGACCATGATTCTAGAGGGCATGAGCAGCAATCGAATTGGTTTGTTTTCTGGTCGCGGCTACTTGTGTGTTAGGTGAACGGCAAAGCAAGGGGGCTGTTGGCATCGAGATAATAGCTCAGGGTGAATTTTGGGAGCTGACAGCAGGGGCGCTGTTTGCGTGGATGCTTGCTTACGTTTTCTATCGTTTCTTGGACAACAGCGACGGTACCGATTAGCGGGTGCGCGCTGTTTAGGATTTGGCCCTTGGACGCTGTATTGGAGGAAGGATTTGACGTGTTTTGACGATTTATGTTTGGGGCCGTTGTGCTTCCCGAACTCTCGTTTTGATTGGGCAAGAAGTTGAGCTTTTGTTTTGTTTGCGGACGGATTTGGTGCCAATTCTTGTGAAGTGTTTTTTTCCAGACATGTCCGTTTTCGTTTTGACGCTTTTCTGATGTAGCACAAATAATGGTGTGGGTACTCTTCTGAAGATGTTTCTTTTGTGTCAACGGTTTGAGATAATTTCCAGAGACGAACGCGTGGGATTCGTGAAGAAACTGATGGACACGCTTTGTGTTGAATGCGTCGCCAGTTTTGTTGAAAAGTTTTCTCAAGGGGTGCTTTTCTGTGTTGGCTAACTACGCGTGAAGGGTTGCAAGATGGTGCATCATATCAAGTAGGGGGGCTGTTTGTGGTACTTGGATATGAGTCTGATCTGTGCATCCTCTGTGGGGGATACGCGTATGGGAAATATGGGTGTGATGGGCATGTATGCGGTTGAGGTCCATGTGCGGGGCCTCCGGGTGAGCACATGGTGGTGTGCTCCCGGCACTTGCCTGAGGGGCTTGTGTGTTGGTGACCAGCTTGCCTGAGGGGCTTGCGTGACGGATATATAATACATAGTCCATTTTCATCTGCGGTTCCTGGGATAACATAGCACCCAGTCTCAACACCACAGACCGCTGAGGGCGGCAGTGCACACTGACAACATGATCGACTGCACCCACCACCCCGCACAAAAGAACGGATAGTCTCTCTGTGAGGTTAGGTTTATTTGCTACAAAGTATCGCAGGTGCATAGACTGCTGCAAGGTATTGAGTCGGCTACCCCGCGGCCCATTACCCCGCCCAATCTCGTATTGGTGACGTATTTTTCTGCTTGGTTTGAGAGAATCTGTTGTGTGGAGGTAGACTACAATACGTGATACACTGTTTGAGACAAGCCCCAACCGTTGCTTTGCGTAACAATTCTCTCTTGGATTATGTGTTGCGCAACACTTCCCCGACTGGTCTTATGTGTCGCGTGTGTGACTGTTGGGTCGGTCATCTGGAAATCAGTCAAATTGTCAAGTCTTCTTCATCGAACGGACAAGGCCGTGCCCCCCATCGATCAACACCTCAAACGAGTTGCTGAAGCAAGAAGCAAATACAAATGTAGTCTGGGATATACAGTTCGGAGAGGCCCGTCTTCAAGAAAGAGGGCAGATTACGTACACTACGTAAAAATAAAGGGCACAGCGAGCTGCAACATGTACTGCTGCGGAGGATTGCGTATGTTTTGCTGCAAGTACATATCAATGCACTGCTGCAGTCAAAAACGCTATCTGTCCCCTCGCCAGGTTTGGGAGAAACGTAAAATGGGCTGGAGAAAGAGAGAGAAAAAACAGCAACGGGCCTACCACTGTTTCCTCGGTCGCCCCTCTCTTCCGCGGCAATGGGCTGTTTGCGTGCAGCATGCGATGACAGGCAAGGCAAGATGCGGCGGCACTGACACTGTTTCGGGGTATCACGAGAACCAACTACTGCAAACATTTTTCTGCACCCCTTCAACCGGCAGGGTCTCGCCGTCTCAGCTGCGATGCACATGTGTCGAAGAGGGTATTTCATGGATGCCGTCGCGCTCTGTTGTAACCTCTCCGACCCTCTACACCCCGCGACTACATGCCGTCCGCTCTGCTTCTCTTTGCACCTTCGAATCCCCCCGAAGTGGTATGGACTACTTTAAATCATGGGCGGATCTACATTTCGTCCTCTTGTGCAAACTTGTTGCTATAGCTATTGTCTAACGGACGTGCGCAGTCTCTCGGCACTTTTAGTCTAGTAACCGTGCTCATGCAACGGGATGCAAAGGAGTGCATCCCTCACGGGCGTCAAACTATTACTTTGGCCGCATTTGGAGTATTGTGCAAAACTGCACAACCTATCTGTCCGCGAAAAGGTTGCCGTTGTTGTTTGTAGAGGTACCGTGGGCGTGATGGACAGCAGCAGGAACTCAGGCCAGCGCCAGAAGCGCTGCGGCTTTGCTCGACAGGAGTCTGCACATGATGTGTCTCTAACGAAACTGCCCGGCCGGGATCGTAGCGCAGTCCAAATCCCCATCGAAGGGCAAAGTTCAACTGGGGGTACCAACCATCATCAGTGAAGCCATCTTTCGAAATTGTTCCTCATCTCCATCCAACAAGCTACCGACAGGTGTGACTCCCCCTCAGCTTTATGATGATGAGTGTTCGGCTTGCTCGAACACTTGGGATTCGGCTAGAATCACTCACCGCGGACCAGACGGTTACTCCACCGTAGCTGTGCTCCTCCACCTCTAAGCAGTACCCTTCACCAGCAATTCTTTCTCACCCCTCAGCTGCCTCTTGGCTGCCGTCGCCTCGCTGTGTGTCGTGTGAAACCGCTTTGTGACTGAACAACAGCAGAGAGACCCCCTTGTCAGATTTGACACCGTGCACCCAGCAGCCAAAAATTGTTCACGCCCTGAAAGTTGAATCCCGAGCGAGTTCGGTGAGAAGTCAACAACTCCTGTTTTCCTTGCTCCTCTCCTCTTGTGCTTGGTCACGTACGCAGCACAGGCATACAGAGACGGAACTGTCCCCCGCGTCGGGCTTGCGATGACGTAACAGAGACACAGACTCAGACTGGCGTGTTGGAGACCACAGGGGTTCATCTGAAGCTCGTGTAACGACGTTCGGTGTGGTCCGGGTTGATACTTTTCTGTCCAACTGATTGGTCTTCTTCGTGACAAATAACCCGAGGCGTGTGGTGATGCATACCCTCATCGCATGCCTTCGGCGCCCCTCTCTGTGTCCTCACCTCAAGCGTGAAGCAAGAAGAGAGCAAGGGAGAGAGACAGAGAGCAAGAGAGACAGAGATACGCACTGCTGTAG